CATTGCTGCAATATTGCTAAAGTAATATTGTAAATTAATGTCACTGCAACATTGCACTGCAATATACAATCTTGCAACGTTGTAGCAATGTTGCTGCAAGCTTCTGTGCTGCTGTATTGGCATTGCTGAGATTCGAACCTGAGACCTCTCCCAGGTAGCAGACACGTCAAAATGACATCCAAATCTAAGTAAGTTTAGGATAAAAAATAACCAAGAAATTATCAAAAATATCGTGAGAATATCGTCAAAATGATAGTCTAATGTCAGATCGATGACGACATTTTAGACGACTTAATGACGTTTAATGACGTTTCTAAACGTCAATAATACGTTTTTAAGACGTTATACAGAAACGTCATTAAGATGTCACAAAATAGACGTTTAAAGACGTCGTTATTTAGTCACTTGACGTCATTCGACCAGTTATGACCAGTTTTTTACGTCATTTTGACGTGAGTCTGTCACTTGGGTTGATTCTTGTGTCGTTCACCTTACCTACTTAGCGTCACTGTCACTTTGATTGAGAGACGCTTTATATTGTGTACATATGGTATATCCATATACGAAAGCATATGATTTATTTAAAAAAAAAGAATAGATTCTTTTAAAATATATGTTTTAAGAAGTATGTAGAAAGTATATTTAAAAAATATTTACATGTTTTAAAAGTAAGTAAAATAAATTATTTTGTAAATTTAAATAAATTTTTTTCTGATAATAAAAGAAACTTTAATTTGAAACATAAAAAAATACTTTTAATATTAGAAAATAATTTATTCAGATTTATAAAATGATTTACTTGTATTTTATTTACTTTTAAAACAAGCAAATATTTATTTAAACAGTTTTTACATTTAAAAACACTAATTTTCTCCTTGTAAAGAAATAATTTGTTTATTCTTATATATATGAAGATATTTTAAATCAAAGAAATCACTTTTTTTATTTATAAATTCATAATTTTACAGCTTATTTTACAAATTTAAAAAAATATTTCTTTATATTTATTATATATTTTCTAAAATTTAACAAATATTTTTTTAAGTTAAGAAATTATATGTAACAAAATATATTTCTTTCATTTAAAGAATTTTTTTTTAACGTACATTACCAATTTAAATTTCGATTTTCTTATTTCTTTATTAATTTAATAATTA